AAAAAAAAAAAAAATGGGCAGAAGTGGGGCGCCAGGGTGGCTCAGTCGGTTAAGTGTCCGACTTCAGGTCAGGCCATGATCTCACTGTCTATGGTTTCAAGCCCCGTGTTGGATTCTGTGCTGACAGCTCGGAGCCTGGAGCCTGCTTTGGATTCTGTGTTTCCCTCTCTCGCTGCCCCTCCCTGACTCACACTCTGTCTCTCTCTTTCTCAAAAATAAATCAACATCAAAAAAAATTTTTTAGAAGTTAAATAGGCTTCTAGAGCCTAATTTATCTTTTGGCGAAATCTACAGTGGCTTGTGCCAATCTCTACTCTTCTATTATATACAATATTATATCATTTTAATGGCTTTAGCATTTGCTGGGCAGGGGTCTGCTGCTCACGCTTACTGTGGAATTTATGGGGTTTTCCTCCCTGGGAAAGCCAGCCTCTCGTCCACACCACGTGAATTTTCCAAGACGTGGAACAGGCCCCCGTGGCCTGTCTTCACAATCCATCAGCACGAAACATGCACCAAATATGTTCTTACAGTTTCCACTGTTCACAGATACTAGATTCCCCTTCTGGCATTCCTTGCCTCGTTTTGCTGCTAATTCTCACCCTCCAGCTTAAATGCCACGTTTTCCTGGCTAGACAGAGCCGGAAGGAAGAAAACAAGACAATTGTCACTGGGTATTTTCTTCTGTGTCTCTTTGAGACTCTGTGTATGTACCTGACCCCTAATTTCTTCAGATTCCAAACCCCATGTAATTCCAAGCCCCTTTTAACACCTGCCACGTCCTCAGGCTGCAGGGCACTCTGGGGCCCAGGCTTCCCGACTCCCAGCTCCAGCTTTCCACACCTCCCTCCCTGGACGGGGGTGAGCGGACACCCCTGCCCACCTGGGCCCTGGCAAAGAAAGAACCCCGTGTAAATGACAAGGAACCTGCGGCCCCGGGGATGTTGCCTCAAGATCCCAGCCGGCCTCCCCGGAGTCCTTCTCCCCCGGGGTCCCCTGGCCTCCGACCTCACCTGCTACCTTTACAGACACCCCCGTCCGAGTCCTGGATCCTTCACCCGAGCGGCAGCACCCCGGCTGGCCCGGGATGTGTGGCAAGGACCTGGGAGCGTCCCCCAGTTCCCAGGAAAATGCTGTGGCCGCACGTGCGGTGACTGGTCAGGGCTCCTCCCAGGCTGGCAGAGGCGCTCACGAGAGAAACAAGCTCTGCGACCACTCCTCCACGTTTCTCAGGAATTTCTAACCATTTGATCTTTTCTGTTACCTTAAACCCCACGAGCTCCGCCTTCCTGAAGCTCGAAAGTAAGGTACAGCGAGGTCTGTGTAACCACACCATCAGGACCCACGACGACACCACCCGCTCAACGGGATCGCTGCACTGAAATCAGACCATCCCCAGAGAAGCGGGAATCCCTGTACTAAGCTTTTATATCCAGGAACCCGAATTTCCCACGGACTACAGCAAACAGGAGGTTCCGTCAGCACTTTTATGCCTGACAACGAAACTGCCTCCCAATACTAGCACGGTTCTCGCTGGGACGATGGGCCCAAAATTCATTAACTGGGGCCTCTTGCCACCCACTGTGAGCTTTCTATCAACTGTCTACTCTTCCCGGCACAGAACCGAAGCTCTACACCGAAGAAGACGAGGTGTAGAGGGAGTGATTAATTACTCCTCCCAAGGCCACAGAGTTAGTGAGTGGCCATATCAATCTTCCCAGAAAGGTCTGTCTGTCTGTCCTGTCGGTCTCTCTCTCTCTCTCTCTCCCAGCCAGCTATCCATCCATCCAGTCAGCTAACAATGACATATCCTTGTTGACGATGAACTCCGTCCCCCAAATAAATGCTTTGGGCCCGACTGTGATGTGTGTAAACTCACTTTACTTGTCATCTTGGGCGGAAATAAAGCAGAATGCGTTGTCTTCACAAATCATTAGGCTCGAATTATAATGAATTAGCGTGTTCACCACTTTCCCTGCTCTCAGCAAGGATCTCTCACGTGCTCAGCCCGGATCTAGACACATGCCCAACGTGTAAGAAGACACATAATTGGATATTCTTGATACTAGGTGGGTATAATTTGGGGAGCCCTAGCAAAGATCCTGGATAAAGATAAAAAGGAACGCTCCAGGGGTGCCTGGGTGGCTCAGTCGGTTAAGCGTCCGGCTCACGGTTTCGGCTCAGGTCGTGGTCTCACGGCTCATGGGATCGAGCCCCGCATGGGGCTCTGTGCTGACAGCACAGAGCCTGCTTGGGGTTCTCTCTCTCGTCCTCTCTCTCTGCCCCTCCCCCTGCACATGCTCTCTCTCTCTCTCTCTCTCT